GGCCTTTAAAAGCCCCTATGGGGAGTGGTCAATTAACCTATGTATGTATGTACGTATGTATGTATCTCTTGGGGAGAAATGCTGTTAGGAATAACAGCTAATGCTCTCTTTTCGCATAAATAATAGCTTATTTTCACCTTGTTTATTCAACTCTTACCAAAAAGCTTGTTGCACTTGTCTTAGAAGGAAAAAGTGCACCCAAAGGGAAGGTGAAAGCAACTGTGACTGCAAAGCTTTTGGAGAGAAATGAAAAGTGTACCCTCCTCTACTTTATTGATGAATTACTCAGTGGGAGCCATAAGTAGCAATGGTTACCTTGGTTAACTTCTGTAGTGTTATAAGAATGTGCGCTATTTTAGCCCAACGTAACGCATTTATTCTATATGTTCACAGGAAAAAGCTGGTTGCTCATGTCATGGAAGAAAAAAGTGCGCCCATGCGCAGGGCGCAGGTCAATGTGACTGCAAAGCTGCAGGAAAGAAATGCGGGCATTACTGCGACTGTGATGAACAGATTTGCACAAACAGGGTAAGGCTTACACTCAAATCTGTAACTTATTGGTAGTGTCGAAGCTCTGAGCCCAGAAGCCTGAGTTCCGATTAGTGTTAGTGATCCACATGATGTTTTTTTCGGTCTCCGGGTCCAAAAATCGCGACAAAGAAACATCCGTTTTTAAATCATGGCGGAGCTTAAGGTATTCCCATCTTTTTTTAAATTCCATTGCAATTGAAATTAATTATTATTGTTGTCATAACTCAGTTCGTGTTTTTCTCATCGTCCTTACTTTTCTTTGTGTCCATTGGCCAAAGGAACAAATGAACATAACTTGGCATAAAGAAGAAGATTATTCACGCAACTACACAGCGTCTGATGCTCATTGTGGATATCACAGATATATGGCTGGTTGCTCTTGTCATGGAAGAAAAAAGTGCGCCCATGCGCGAGGCGCAGGTCAGTGTGACTGCAAAGCTGCGGGAAAGAAATGCGGGTATAACTGCAACTGCGATGAACGGATATGCACAAACAGGGTAAGTGTCTCGATACACTTTCCGAGTCGCACGAACAAGTAGCTGATGCTTCGTTAATCAATGTGGGTTCTTAAGGAAATGAAGAGAGGAAATGATCACTCGATATTAAGCAATTATGATATATTATATAAGCATAAACAAGGCAACTATTCCTATCTCTTTTATCGTAATTGGCCTAGGTGGAGTAATTACCTTTTTTTCTCCGTGAACAATCGTGCCATTTTCTACTAAGTTCCAAAAGTAATCAGAGATTGCTTTGGGTTTGCTTAATTTTGCTGTATGATTGACCCAGAAAACCCGTACTTACCTCGCAACCAAACCAAACCAAAAAAACAATGGGAAAGCGGTAACTCGTATTTTCCCGCTCTTTAAGCAGTTTGCTTTTTGTCATCTTGCGTTTTTATTGGTTAATTACAGTGTAAACCTAGGTTCTGATCATGATCGGTCACTGAGATCACTTTGGTTTTTTATCTTTGACACTCAATGAAAACTGCCCTAATTACGATAAATCAAACGGGGAAGGTACGTTTAAAAGCAGTGTCTTCTCTGGCAAGCGAAGTAGCCCCTGAGTTTCCTTAGTTGAAATGCCGGTCTACGTGGCACAATTTTCACCCGTGACCAAAACATTCAATTTTCCTTTGTTTCTCTGCGTTCCGGTTAGAAAACGTGTGACCTTATCTATTCAGTGGTAGTTACTTGCATGTCAGCAACAAGTGCATCATGTAAATTGGCCAATACTAGTAGGGCTGAGGTATTTTCTGTTCTAAATAAATGTCAAATTTTTCACCAACGTCTAGGCATGGTAATGAGTACTAATGCCACTGAATCTGTTCTGGACGTCGATGATGCTGGGTAGACGAAAAATCATAAAAGAAGCAAGAGGCAACTTTTACAAGCTCAACAGCAAACAGCTGGGAAGGGTTACTTTGTATTATGCACCACTTCCATTTGTAGCGTTTAGTTTAAATAGGTTGATTTTCAAGTAGTTCGAACACAGCCATGATTTTTTAAATAGTCTTACAACAAGCCGTGGCATGATTTTCCCTCAGTGATACTGCATTGAGAGGACTTCCAACTTGGCTCCCAGTAAAAGAATACTGATTACAATTTATCATTTACAACAATTATTTTACACTGTTTTACACTATTTTCAATGCTCGTTTGTATTAAGGGTTTTAAACATGAATTAATCTATCGGAGGGAAAACTGATTCTTTCAAAGACTTTTTGGCTGTTTGGTTGAAAGTAGTTAGGTAATAATATTGGTACTTTTTTTATTGTCGATTATATACAATTTTTGAAATATCAGAGGTCATTAAATATATATACAATAGGCGCAGTAAGCTTCGACCTTTATGGAAAGACTGTTACGGGAAAGTCTAATGATTTTTCCGTGTGTTTTTGAAACACTTTAATTAGTTACTTTTTCAATATTTTAGCCGTTCTCAATTTTTTCGAGAGTCTTGCATTCAATATGTAGAATTTTAAAAAGACACAAAAGCCAACAGTAGTTGCTTTCAATTACCAACCTTGTACACCTGTAAATCGATCCCCCTTTGATCTTTGTCTGGTATAGATTGTTAAGTAAAGTTTCGCAGTAACGACCTTTCCTTGATAATTCTGGTCTCAGGGAAATCAATACGCAGCCGAGCCTCGCTTTCTTAAATTAGCCTTTTCAAACTGTGCACCAAAATTTCGTAGATATGAAGAAATTCTGAATGGGTTTCTCACTTTTACTTGTAGAAAAGGAAAAAATATTTAGGCAGAATCATATAACTTCAAAGAGACTTTGTTCGCTACTTTTGTTTAGTGCAGTTAGTGCACGAGCACTTGCTCGATAGTACATAAGCAAGTACATTGTAGAGCCTTTTTTGATTACAACGATCACTGATTGGTGATTGCATGGATGACCATGTTGATATTACATTAATGTTGATATTACATTACAGATTGCATTATTGAACACGCTGTCGTTCCCGTAAGACTTAGACATGAACTAGAATAACACTTCTGTTGGAACCAAGCAGAGTTGTCGATCCTCGACGTCTGAATTAAGTCCATATAAGTAAGCTTAACTGAGCAGGTTCCTGTGCACTCGGAAATCGTGACGAGCTTCCTTTCTCGCAAGCCAAGTGTTGACTACAGAGCCATTTTCCACCTTTGTTGAGTTTTTCCTGCAGAAGTCCAGCCAGTAGAGTGTGCGTAATTTTGGCGAGTGACTGCACAGTATTTTCTTTGCGAAAATTATAGCCTTCATCTTTGACTTTAGTGAAGGCGGAAAGCTGGGGAGAGATAGAGATTTGTACCAAGGGGGAGAAAAAATAAGAAGGGGAGTGAGGGTGGGGTGATTATCGCCTCTTCTCACCCCTCCCCTACCGTCGACTCTAACTCCAAATTAAAATGGCTGGTCGAATAAACGACCGCGCGCATCGCGCGCTTTTACTGCAGGCTGGCAAAAGTCCTGCAGTAGCATGCGAAAAACGTATCGTCACAGGACTCCCAGATCCGCCTTTGTATCATTCACTATAAGCGGTGGGTAAAAAGCGAGGGAGGTTTTGGTCGGGTCGGGTAAACGACTACAGCAGTCAGACCAACCGAGGCCAAATCTTTTATCTGATCGGTAAGGATGGGCCGATATGGCTTTTTCGAATCGATACGATACCGAGTACGATATTTACTTTTTCTTCGATATCGATACCGATACCGTGACGTCATTGAAATTCATTGTCAGTCACGTGATCTGATTGGCTAAATGAAGACATCCTCGCACGGATTTCAGTTCAGTTCTCTTGACTAGCATCAACACGACAGTCGCACAAGTCAATAATTTCTAATTTTTGGGATTCATTTTTAAATTTCATGAGGAAATGAAGACAACTGCAATGGTACAATCTTCCTACTTACCTTATTAAACAATCCGCAACTTTCAGTTGCATTCATGATCATAAGGCATACGATGAAAGGTTATCAGTCAGTCACTGTACAGGTCACTAATAATAAACAAACACGGGTGCACGACTTACTATAGACCCTGCGCTTCAATACTCGATAAATCAGAGACTCCCTGGAATTCAGGACCATACAGGGTGCGAGACTTTAGAACTATTTAACCTTCCTCAGTGATTTTCTCACTCGAGGTTTTTCTTTAGTGAGCAGGCATGGCAGTTTGCAACTCATTTTTGTTACTCCAGATATGTCATTGTAATGCCTGGATTGTTGTGAGTTGTGACTTTGTTGCCGTTGTACTGAGTGACTACTTTTACAGTTAATAGAACCGGGTCCTATTTCACAGTAAAAAGTTCTTATGGGTAATGGGAGAAACTGCTACTTTGATCGGTAGATTGCGGCAGTCCTACATTGAACATAAATGCGCACATGCACGATCTTGAGCCCGGGGTATTTCAGCTACTTGTCAGCGGTTAGTCGCGGGAGATTAAGTCGCGGGTAGGTCACGTGCATTATCGAAAGAATCGATACTCTTCGCTGGTATTGATATTTTTCGATCCTACCTCGTTATCGCTGGTATCGAATATTTGGCATGGGTATCGGCCCATCCTTACTGATCGGTTGATAGAGCAAGGGAGTCTTGTAGACCGATCAAAGAGCTTATAAAAACCGTTTCAACGCCGGTTCACTTCAGCCACTCGATCGAAATCACTCAAATCCAAAACTTCCCTTGGTTTCCCACAAACGTAAACGTTCAGACAACAAAGGCTACTGCGATGTAACGCTGACAGGTCGTAAGAAAAGCGCTAACGAGTACAGTTTGACATTGTTGATGTTTCCAACTGTTTATGTATAACACAGCAATTGAGAAGACTTTATTATAATCCCAAGGAAAAAAAATAAAAAGTACATTACCTATTTACAATGATAAAAAATCCTTTACAGCTGAAATAAATCTAAATCACATGAAAGGGGAGTAGAGTTAGTATTTCTTTTGAGGTAATTAAAATGCTGAGGCATCAAACATCTGGGTATGTAAGTTCATGCCTTTAGTGAAGCTGCCCTCACTCCATTGTTTTCTGGTCCTCTAATCTGTCCTAATAGTTTCTTCATATGTTCAGCCATTCCAGGCAGGCGTGAAAAGCGGTTCCTTGCTAGGACATGTTTGTGGAGAATTTTGCCGATAAACATTCGCCCGTACGCCTAAATTTGAGAAAAGTAAAGCGTAAGTAGGAAAGAGCTAAAACTTGAAAAAATAAGACAATTTGTTGAGGCAGGGTCCGAAATTAACTTTTTCCTAAGGGAGCCAACTGGCGACTAACCCTAAAATTTTGGTCGCCAGATGGACGGGTTTGGTCGTTTGGTTTCTTGCTTGCCACACCACGATCGCGGCTTCACCGCTGAATTTGTCGCAAATTAAAGAAAACGTAATCCCCCTGGAACCCTTGGTATAACTTACCCTAATTTATAGTAAGGCACAAAGTTTAACCTTTCAACAAAATGTTTTCATTTAACCCAATATACATACTTCACAAAAGCCGTGTAACGGTAACAGAGTCCTACATCTTAATGAGCGTGTTTGTCCGTTCGAAGAACGTTCTTGTGAAGGCTTCGGATATCTTTCGCTTATTATTTCCATTTCGTTGGAACTATGCTGGTACCCTGTTAAGTTCTGTGTATAACACACATGGGGGTCCTCTTTCTATACCTGGATTCAACTAAGAGTGCTTCGCCGAGACGGAACGAAAACGAAACGACGATCAATGCGCTTGTGCCAGGCCCTCACACTCTTATTGCTCGAACCGGTCCCCACTTAAGTCGATGGCCACAGTAAAAATTATCGAGATAATAGAGACACTTTCGTTCTTTTTGTACTGGCTAAAATACAATCGAACATTTATCTAAGTCGCTGAAACATTTAGGAGAGGACGTTTCGTCTCCTGAGAGCAGCAAATCACGAAATGATCGCAAAGAGCTGATAGCCATCTTTCGCACATGTAGTACTCCGTAAGACAACACCACAACTCGTATTTCAGAACTGGAATTTACAGGTATTTAAGTAAACTATTAAGGACTAAGCGCATGTGATTCCGCCGACGCTTTCGATCTCGTCACGATTTCGCCACGTCACGTTTTCGTCCGCGATATCCGTATTGGAAGAAGCCGCTGAAACAATATGGCGCCAGGTAAATATAGCGATCGTAAAATCGTCGCTTCGTTTACTACAATTATCCACGGGAGCTTTAAGTTTTCTTTTAAAAAAAAAGCCCTTTTACGTTGGAATTTGAAATGCCGAGGGAACAAAAGGTTAGTCGCTTAATTGTTGGTCGCATTGGCGACCAGTCAGTCGCAATTTCGGACCCTGTAAGGGAATCCATTCCCCAGGATAGCGTCGTGTCCTTGAGCCTTTAGAAAGTTTAAAACCTAAACCAACCTATTCACAACAGGCAATAGGGTGAAGCTTTAAATGGGTCCTCAAATGTTCGGGTCCAATCAGGGACCCAGGAAGGAGCAAAACTAATGCCATCCCGGATTATTGACACTCGTTTGAAAACTGCCAAAAAATGACGAAAATAATCGAGTTTCCCGCCGATATCACATACATGCATGTAGGCGAGTCTAGAGTTTTAAAAAGTTCACGACCGCTACAATCATGATGGGAACGATAAAAGAAGTAACGAAAGAAACTATCTCAGTGACGTTTTCAAGTTTGGCATGAGCAGAAGCCTCTTCCTTTGTGAGTAAAATACAGTTCCATGGTGACCACTCCTCGTATTTGTTCCACCGAAGTAGCACCAAGTCAAACAGATCTTCATGAGCGCTCAACACGCTCTGACCGTTCCAAATGTTCTCCACTAGATAGCGGAGGTCAGGTTCCTGAGAGAAAAAAAAGATCATGCATATTATTGGCTTGTAGGATTTGATGGAGAATGGTTTAACTAAAAATATCACGATCGCAAACAGGCAAGTGCTTCAGGATTAGGGCTTCTACAGTCAAGCTTCGTGGCGTAGCTTCATGTGCTTAGTAACAAAGAAAGTCTATCCACGGGTCCCTTGATGATGAGACATGAAATTTCACGTTACTAATGTAACATAGAGAGAGTGGATTGGCAATATGACAAAACATGTATCCTAGCCCGTGAAAAGCTTTGGAAGATTAAACGGGAATGTGGAATTGCGGAAAGAAAGAAAAATTGGATCCACGTAGAATATAGGGTATCAAAGCGGTCATGGCTTCTTCGGCTAACGGATAGCTAACGGATAACTTCTTTCCGTTGCGATTAAAAGGAAAATTTTAACCGTTAACTTTTTTCACGACGAACGGTAACAGTTGTCAATTGTTTACGCCTAAAAGCTATTTTTCGTTATTGCCGTTTTACAGCTAACGGTTAACCCCATTGAGACCCTCAGAAAATCAGCGTACGAAGCCTGAAAAACTCGTTTCGTTTTTCTGTTTGCAAACTGAAAAGATAGCGCAACATAGACGGGTGAGGGGCAGAAAGCAAAGTCCAGTTTTCGCTGTTTGTGATTGCCTACACGTGTTTCCGAATTTCTGAAGTTGAAACTCAGTTCAGGCTATTATCACACACTGTAAGTTTTTATACCTGCACCAGGTAGGCGATATTGGAGCCGTCTGCAACGTTTTCCTCAGAACGTCTGAGATCTTTCAGCATTATACGATATAGTGAGAAATCGTGTCTAAGCCTGGCGTCGTTATCAAGTTTAGTGCACTTTCTACACCTTCCCACAACCCTGTATTCCAAAAATTATAAATTTACCAGTCAGTTTACGTAATGGTTAAGTGATAATACATTATCTGTAAATCTCGCTTTGTGCTGCCTTTGCTACGACAATCGCCTAGCTTGCTACGACAATCGCCTAGCTTGGTGCTGCCTTTGCCACGACATCTGCAAATGATGAGACATTCCACTCTTTTCGGTTAAGGACGATAAATCGTAGACTCTGTTCGTCTGTCTCGTGAACCTTCTCTTCACTGGTTTTGTGGGGACGATAAAGAACCCAGGCACTTTTCGCAAAGAGAAGGGAACGTACATGTAGCTACTTGTGTTATGGTCTGGCCTTGTTGTTGTTGAAACGTTTTAAATGATCCCCCACAAGTATTATCTACGTACTGTAGAGAGAGGTTGAGCAGCAAAGGAAGAAGAAGAAAAAGAAGAATAGGCAACGAAGGTGAAGGGAAAACCAAACATTTTTTTCATCACCCTACCCTCCCAGCAAATCCCCAAGGCACGGTTGATTTTTAATTTTTGGTTCTAGATTTATTTCTGATTGAAAAGGTAGAGCGAGTTTGTTTTCAGAGTAATTCACAAAGTCTAATAAAGGTAAAACTTGAGTAAATGTAATTCTAGATGAGTTCAACACTCAATAAGAAATGATATATCGCTCTATAGAAGCAACAGGGACATTACATCCTTACTTGGAATTCGACGAAAGTTGGAACTCGGTGGACGGTAAATACGAATTGCAGCTTGGACAGAAGTAGATGTTTTTACGTAATACGGCAGGATCTTGTGGAACCTGGGAACAGAGTCATTACACAAAAAAGGTCTTTAATATCACGAGCTATCTATATACGTCACTGAGGTTCTGAGAAGTGCAACCCAGGTTGACAAATATGAACAAAAGTAGTGTCCTTACGGCCAATTGCGTAAAAATCAGTATCAACTTCATGAAAGTAAAACGGTTCAGTTTCATCTAAAAGGATCAGTGGTTAATCAGTACTTTCAGTTAAACTGCAATTAATGAAATTACAGAAAGTTGAGCCTAAAGAATGCGGACTAAGTGGAAAATTGGCTGCAACCAGCATCTCCCTGTACTTCCTGTCTTACGCATGAAGAGCGAAGTTACGTTTTCATGAGTCTTTTTTTTTCCATCAAATGAACTCGTAGGATTAAATGCGTTTATTTTTGTCTTCGTTTAAATTGCCTAAAAGGAACCAAATGTCGTATAGTTATGAAATCATCCTTGAAAACTGGTACTTAGCTCGCTGGGTATAACATACCTTGATCAGTCGAGCCGCCTCTGGGTTGAAGAGGGGCGTTTTGCAATACTGAAGGAAGAGGGTTAAAATTCTCTTGCGTAAACCTGTAATGGAAGATTGTTCAAATACGCAATCAAGGAGGGCCTTACAAGGAATGTGAGACATAAACTGTTGAACATAGAGCTATATATATATATATATTTTTTTTAACGGAGTTTGAATTTCCCAACAAATAACAATACTGACACGCCTTGCTCTTGCTTTACTGATGACAGTCGTTGACGGAAGCAAAAGAGTGAAGGAGTTTATCTAACAAAAGTTAGTCTTCGCATCGAAAATTATGCGTTCAAATCATAGCAGGGTAACTATGCCGCGTTCTTAACAGAACAAGTTACTGTACTCTCAGTGCATCATTCCACCCCTGATTATGAAGAGTTACTAAAGAAAATTTTCAGGGAGCCCTTCACGAAATGCATGGGGTATCCGCAATGGAATATGCCACATGCAGTACCATTCCATCCAGGAGAGCGGCAAATTATTCTAACTAGCTTCATTCGACTCCATGCCATGAAAACCAAGATTACTTGGCCTATCTACCTTCTAAATTTGATTCCTTGACTCCTCGCATCAACAAATCCGCTTCTCTATCGATCAGTTCAACAATCTCTTGTGTCAGTTTGCAGTCATGCTCCTTTACTGTGTGTTTAAGGGTCAGCAGTACGTCCAGTCTCTCATCTTGCGTCAGGTACTTCATGCTGAGTGTGCTGTATATGTCCCGTAACTCTTGAGCGCGGATGGTGTAAGGTGTGTCCATTTCAGTCACTTTACCATCAAAGGCTTTCCACTTTTTGGGGGCAGCAGTCTGTTAAGATGAAAAAAGCCAAGTGTTAGAGCTCTTACTTTCGGCATGTTTAATTAAAAAAAATTCACCATGGGTTGTTCTGCGTAAAAATCTTTCCAGTCCATCAGTTTGCTGTTAAGTCAACAGGGGACAATACTAGGACAAAATATATAAAACCAAGCCACGTTAATGAATCATTGAGTGACGTCACTATTACATTGAATCACTTCTGCTCAAAGAGATTCCACGATGATCTACAGAAAACCAAATCCCCGGCCTGGATGTAGTGATAGCAATACGGATCTACGCTCGCACTTCCACAAACCTTATTCAAAAAGTTCTTGATCCTTTTGTCTTTGTTTTCTTCATCAGCAACCAACTTATGGCGGTCAATGGAGAAAATGAGGTATGCTTCTTGTTCCAAAAGTCCGACAAGAGCTGCTTTCCTCTCTGGGCCTGAGTACAACTCATCTATCAACGCCATCTCTTCGTTACGCCATTCTAAACAAATAAAACATTTCCATGTTGCAACCACACGACTAAAGCAATAATAAACATCTAAGCATATCCTGACTCAGCTGTAAGTATTACTATGAGCTCTCTAATTAATGAAAGATTGCGAAGTGATGCAACCGATGAGTCTCATATCTCTACACGTTTCACAAGTCGCATTTTCTTTCTTAGAAAGTCAACTGAATAAAGGTAAACTGACAGGTAACTAGGGATTATCCTATACATTAGAAGGGAGCTGTGGTATTAAGTTTTGGATTTTCCCATGTTTTGGTTACTTTCGAAATAGCTTTTTGATTTTAGGAATCCCCCCATATCTTTTCTTTCGTTTATCTTTTTTCTCTTGTTTGTTTGCGTTTCCGTTGTTAATTTTTTTGCCTTTCTTGTTATTCCCTTTTCACTTTCAGAAATGGAAAGTGACTTTTCGCTTTACTTATTCACCATTAAGATTTTGTACCGGGGTATTAGGATTTTCAGTTGTGAACGGTTTTGACTTTTTTAACAGCGGTTTTTCGGTTTTTGCGCAAAAATACTTCGGTTTTTCGAGTTTGGTGTTCATTGCAGTTTGCGGATTTTCGGTTTTTTTGCACTTGGTTTTCGGTTTCCGAATTTGGTATACAATATGGTTTTCGGTTTTTCCTATTCAGGTTCTGGTTTCTCTTCGATCTGAGCGGTAATTATACGCCTCCGCTAATCTCCAATGGCCGTAGAAAAACTCTGTATGCTCCACTTTGACAGTTTTGCATACGAATTTCGGTTTTGATCGAATTTTTTGCGGTTTTGGACAGTTTTTTCTACCGTTTTGCGGTGTCCAACAGACCCTCATGTAGCTTGTCTCAGTTACATGCACAAATATACTAACTTTCTAGATGAGCATAGAGGAGATCAAAGTCTTCTTTTGTCTTGGGGTTCATTCTCCTTCCCCATTCTCTCTTCATTCTTTCAGCTCTTTCTTTCTGTTTTCTGAGCTCCTCATGTCTTTCCCACTCCATACGTCTTAAGCGATCTTCTCGTAACCTCTGGACATGATTCTTAGCGAGCCATCTTCTCCAATAAGTTTGAAGGATAATGACCTGAAAATCAAAAGCAAACTTAGGTCAATCTTGATCAAGGTTCATGTTGTATGGTTATAAAATAATGTAATTTGTTGGGAAGATGAAAACTAAAAGGGTATTCATCATTTAACTTGTTAGATAAAAAGGCACAATTAAATGCAAAAAGGAATGCAGAAGTGAGGGAATAGTGCAGAGACAGGAGAATTTTCTGTCTGTCAGAATAAATTAACAACCTCTGGCCAGGGAAACTTTGACAGAGATCTGATCTCCAATGCCAAGAGAACACTCTATATACTACCGGTAGGTATAATTACCAACTGAGGGAATGTCACATTTTACAGACTGAGGTGAAATAGCAAAGTAGTATTCACCTTCACTGAAAAACTAACCGACAAAGGTTTCCTGTAGATGAAGCTTTCAGAGGATTGTGATAATCATCCCTTAGTATCCCAAAGATTAAATGGTACTCGATTAAAAGAAACAAATTGAGGAACAAAAATGACCCCATATAAAATTAAGCAGGAAAAAAAAGTATGTGCAATTTTTTAAACTTAAGAGATATGACTGAAAATGGGGCAAACATTTACTGGCCCTTTGACTCCTAAGAGACTAACATCTAATTTCTCCTTACAATATCACCGCTGAATCACACATAAAGGTCATGAGAATAGAGGAAATGATCAGCGTAAGAGTGACCAGCATCTCATTTCTCCTTACAATATCGCCCCTGAATCACATATTAAGGTCAGGAGAATAAAGGAAATGATCACCAACTAAACAAGCTCTTGATTGTTAGACAAATTCTCCTTGTCTGCACCTTAGGAAAAACATGGAGAACAGTATGGAGAATATGCATAATGATGTTAGGGTGTGAAGGGTTACAAGTAAATGTACACCCATTTACATACTTTCTCCAATATCTCCTTGTGATATTGATCAGCTGTTTCATATTTCCCAGGAATCAGTATCTTATCTGTGACATTTGATACATAACAGCCATCCTTGGTCTAAAATAAGAAGGAGAAAATGTGTTAATACCCATGTCTATGAACCTGAATCCTAGTTACACTAAAGTGCTGTCTGATAAATTAACCTACAGTACAGCTGGAGAAGAGTGCAGACAGGAAAAATGTCGCAGAATCTGGATGGAGTTTAACAACAAACTGAAGCATCATACAGCTGTAATTGATACTTCAAAAGGTAAAGATTTTGGGGACTTTTACCATTTGTGTGGATGTTGTATTTGTGGTCTGCTGAAGTCTGTTTCTCAATTTGTATGTTTGTGTGTCTCTATGAAACTTCTCAACTGATGAAGGTACACGGATCTTAGGTACAGTCTGTGCAGATGCATTGTGGAACTCTGTTCCTGTCAGTCTGTGTCGGTAGCCTCCCAGGAATGGCTTTTTTCTGTTCTCTTGGACAATGTGAACCACAACCTCAACCTCCTCTCCACCTGGAAAATATAATTATGAAAGATAAAAATGAAGATATTCAATTACTATAGGTGTATATATAAGTATATGAGTGCTGGCTAAAAAAGGATAAGAATGCATTATTTTGGTAACTAGTAAATTTTCAAGCAGGGGTTTCATCAGAGGCTGGGCACTGAGAAAATTTACTGTCTGTGGAGATGTATTTGCCCACCTGATTTAACCATCTAGAGGAAAATTTATTGTATGAGGAAGTTCAGTTCAAAAAGTTTAGCCTGCCTGTGAAAACAAGTTGCCTTTTTGCTGAAAACATTAATGAAACCCTTGCTCATGTATGACAACCTGATAAAGCAATCACTTATTATGACAGCAACCAAACCGACGCATTTATAAATAAGTATCATTCAAGGGAAATCAATCTTTATCTGAAACATAAAAGATATACACTGTGACATAGATTTTTTTCACATCCACTTTTCAATGTACATAGTGATATGTTACAACTTTGATTTAGATAATCAACAAAACAGAAATGCTAGCTCACTTACCAACTTCCACCTTGACCTTAATTTTGTCAGGTAATTTGTACATTGGTAGTGACTGTCTGTACTGTAGAGGTGTATTGACTGGATCTGACGACTGAATTTCCACTTCCACTGTCTGCCCAACTTGGACACCCAGATCTGACAGCACAGTGTGATCTTCCACCATTTTGCCTTGAAGTGAATCAGTAAGATAGTAAATTATTTGGAGTCTTAAGGCTTATTGCTGCATGGACTTGGATCCAAAATAATGGAACTTACCATCAAATATCATCAATATTGCCTTTGGTGGCTGCCCAAATTCTGATGCAAAATGGTTTCGTAGTTCAAAGAAGGACTGCTTTAATGAACAAGACATGCTCTGTACATGACCCTCTGGCATGATGATGAACTTCACTGAAAAAACCAACATGAAAATGTCATTCTGTCTGTTTCATTAAGTTCAATATTGCTCCATGATAAACATCTGAACAGTATGTAATGAATGAAAGCCAATAATTTTGATTTAAAATAATGAATTAATGATAGTACTATAAGATAAGATTGATGTATCCAGGAAAAGTCAACCCACCCTTCCCATATTGAGGTTTCATTATCAAACTGTGAATTGTGGCCAGTGAAAAAGTTTCTGAAGCTGACATTTCCACAGTGTAATCCCTTCTAATTTCCAAAACAAAGCAATCTCACCAATCGCTGATGACAAACCACTCGTGGTCACAATCTTACACCTTCCAACTTTCCACCACAAACCGTTATAGTACACTTACATTTACTATGGGCATTATACTGATCAGTTCAGTCCCCTGTAAAACATATACATCTGCAACATAGCCAGGACGATGTGACCTAGGAAGGCTACCATTGTAAAGAGTTTTTCAACTGCAGCAGTACTACATATAGATTACTAATACAGAACAACAAAGCAGATTTACTAGCTAGCTCTGCAATGTTCAGTGGTCCGTCATGGTGGCTGGCTGTGTTTTATCGAGCTCGTCAAAACGAAACAAATTTCTTGCTCTGCTGTTATTTACTTCATTCCTTTTTGACACACAAAAGTGCTCAGTACATTGGGTAGGCGGGCAACGACTTCCAACTGGTACTTCGGTAATCCTGCCTCAGAATTCCTGGGATATTTATGGGGCCAGAAGCTGGGCAACTCCAAGAGTGAGTTCAGGCAGAAGGAAATCCTACTTCGCTTCAAGGTTTCTGTACATTGCTAATGAAACAAGAACCCAACAGCTCAGCTGAATATTTCTCAGAGGGGATATCCACAAAAACCCAAAGAGAACCCCAAAATACCCCTGCAAGGAGTGTGGGAAAGGAGTTCGCTCGAATCAAGATGCTTTGCTATGTGCTGAGTGTAATGCCTAGTTGCATGCGAAGTGCATAACCCTGAGCAAAGCCGGCTTCAAGTACTACCTGGACTACCCAGATATTGAATGGACCTGCTCCCTATGCTCACTTCCTTTTGGGTTAGAGCAAAGTTTGGTTGGAGAAGTAAATCTAATTCAACATGGCGGCGATGGTGAATATGCAAATGAGGATAGAGCTGGATATGCTAATGACTTGCCTGAACCGTGGATAATACAAGAAAGGAAATGGAACGCTACCGATCTCATGATTATTCATCTAAACATCAATAGCTGCCAAAACAAACTGGATGATCTGATTTACTCAAGAAGGAATTGAAGTCACATGTAATTTTTCTGTCAGAGACTAAGATCGACTCTTCTTACACCAATGCACAGGTGGCTCTTGAAGGATATCATACCTATAGGAAGGATAGAAAAAAGGGTGGTGGTGGCCTGATGGCATATTTCTCATCTAAGATGGTATCTCATCCTGTGAAGCTTCCTCAGCAGAATAAATTACTTGAAGTTCTGGCCATAAATGCAACAATAAACAACAATGATGTGTTGTTTGTTGGTATTTATCAAACCCCAGAAGCAACTGGCACTGATTACTACCGTAAACTGGAAGAGGAATTTAATGGGCCATTTTACAGTTGTGCACTTAGTTGCCAAGCCTTTGATTCAGAGTGAGGCTAAAGATGACCTTGTCATGATAGAGACCTCTATCTAGTTAGCATGATAACGTGATTTACATTTGAAAGGCAGCAAGGTTTGTATCATAACAAGGTCATCCCTAGCCTCACTCCTGTTCAAAGGCTTGGCAACCAAGCACACGACTGTAAAATGGACTATTCACTGCACATGTGGACTATGATGGAATGTAACACACTCATACTTATGGGAGACCTGAACCTTGACAGATCAACACCAGAACGCACAGAAGGGAAAACTTTGCTCAGTCTAGAGGAGGTTTATGGTCTGGAGTGTCTAATTAAGGATCCAACCAGAATTACGCCTACATCTGAAACTCTTCTAGATGTGATCCTTACTAACAAGCCAGAGCTTTTTAAAACAAGTGGAGTACTAAATCCAGAAATGAGTGACCACCATCTAGTGTAAGGGATTATGAAGCATAGGGTGTCTCACAATGAAAGAAAAGTAGTCACATTTAGGAGTACTAAAACACTGGATGTTGAAAAACTCAATGAAGATTTATCTTGTGCTCTCTGGAAGGTAATAGATACCTTTGATACTCTTGATGAGATGAATCTTTTTTGGGAGTCCCTTTTCAACACCATAGTGGAGAAGCACATGCCTACTAAGAGAATGAGGTTTCGTAAAGTCGATGTGCCATACATGACACCTGAATGGAAAAAGGCAATCAAAATGAAAAAGAAATTTGCCAAGCAAATATGCTCAAAGAGGAACAGAGGAAAACTGGGTGCTCAAGAGAATATGGAGAAATAAAGCTACTAGCTACAGACAAAAAGCTATCAAAGAATATTGGAAACAAAAGGCAGATGACCTTAAAGCTAAGCCAAGCGAGTTCTATAAAACCTTCAGGCCATTTCTTAGCGACAAGAAGCAGCCTATAAGCGAGATCCACATTAAAGCAAA